ATGACCTTTGGGCAAACTTTTAGGTGTCCAAGGTCTTTATCTCATTTGTAGAGGCATTTAGATTAAGATGGAAAAATAATGTTTAGAACTAACCTCTGTGCTAAAGATGACGGAATGGCTTTATTGAGCCAGTTTGGCAACAGAAACAAAAGGAGGGAAGTATCTCCACTAAGCCCTGTGGTCTCTAAAGAAAAGACAGGGATGCCGTGAAGCACGCTCACACAAGGACACATACAAAAGAGGACAATTCATCTTTTGTTGCTGTCCCTGCCTTCTATCAGAGTAGTTCTGTGATAGCTGAGACAGTAGTTGGCCATCTTATAAGATTCACAGTGGGTTTCACAAGAAAGAGAGAGAGAGAACTGCTTATTCTGTAAGTATGTGCACCAAGTATGTAGCTTTCACACTATAGCTAGCAACTTTATGAGATTCCTTGGTACATGAAAGCTGCAATGTGATTTTTAAGTTGACAGGTTGTTTGAGCCATTGACCTCGGCTTTGATACCAACAGAAGCAAAGTGCTATCAGCTCACATTTAGCACTGTACAATGCTTAATGAAGAGCTCCTCCTATCTCGGGATTTCTTTTCCTTGAGAATGGTATAACGTCTTTATAGCGTGGTGGTAAGTAACATACACTTGCTGTGATCATTCTGTCACTGCTTCATCAGCCTACTTTAAAACGATTTAAAATAATTTGTGGTTACATTTCATACTCTAGTACTTTTCCTGCAGAATATAACTAAATCATAATAGATTACTAAGTCAATATATTTATATTGACGGAACTTGAAGAAACATTGATTTTACACCTTCTCCTATTTATTTATTTATTACGAAAACTCTGCACAGTTCCACCGAGTAGACAGATTCAAGGGGAGAGATTTTGCAGGGAACAACGGCAGTAGCTATCACAAAAGATGCTTATTGTTTTCATTAGTTATGGTGTCAAGGACAAAGGGGAGCCCAAACAGAAGGCAGATCTACTCTGGCTAAATACAGCAAGGTGGCATAAAGGAAAGCATAAGATGGTAAAACTGTCCATATTTCAATCTATTTACTGCCATTAAACATGCTTTGATTGTCATTATTGCAAAGGTTCCAACTGAGGCTGACTATAAACAAATAAATGTTAATTTAACGAGTAATAGAATGTTTCCCAAACTCTACAAACAAAGGCTGTAATTCCATTTAGAGGACTCTTGTGACATAAGCCATGTCAGCAAAGCTCAAGCGATTTGTCAATGTCATCAGAACCCAGAGGTGGAATTGCAACTTTATATTTATGGGTATTTCAGGGATTTATAACCAAAAATCTGTGGTACCCCTGAAATCCACAAGATGCTCTGGGACGTTACAAAGTAAATCATTATTGCATTAAACTTCTAAAAGGTAGCAGTGTTGCTGGAAAGCAACAAAGGTAGAACTCTGTGCATATTGTTTAGAGAAATGTTTTTAGCATAAAGATACCTGCAGGAATGTTAAAATCCAGTTTCTCATTCATGCTGGTTGCACCAGCCTGAGTGGCAGATGACTTGATGCCTGCAGTAAGAGGCAAGAAGTTCAGAGATACTGCTGGTGCCAACTTAATAAAAACATATTTCAACTGAAGAACGCAGTTTATTTCTCGTGCTAGCTGTTGGAGTGAGCTAGTTCTCCTTGGAAGCCAGTGGCTTCACGTTCAGAAATGCTGAACTCATGAATCAACTCACAGAATTACAGGTGCCCAGAAACTTCATCTTGAACCTTCTGGAAAAGTTTAAAGGCCTTCAGTAGTTAGATAGGTTCTAGAATGCCCCCGCCCCCGCCAAAACCCCAAACAAACAACAAACCAAACAGAGTTCTTATTTTCCACTTTCACATGGAGAAATGTGAGGAGTGATTTGCCAAGTTTGCATAATGATTGAGAAGGCATTTCCTTACAATCTGTGAATTATACCTCTGGAAGAAAGTGCGTCCATTAAAGACCATTCAAAATGTGACAGAATCTAACAAACCTGAACTCTCAATGTAAAATAAATCCTGCTTGATGGGGTTAGTTCTCATTATATCCCACATTCCCCTCCCAGCCAAGCCGTTTGCTCCAGCAAAACCACTGTTCAGTCATGTTAATATACCAGTTCCAGGGAAGTATGGGAAGCTTTGCCATGGGAGTCTTGTTCTTTGCTGTTTGAATAAAGGAACTACGTTTCCAGGAGACTATATTATAACACTGAGTGCATTTTTTAGTTAAGGGATGAATTTTGAAACATTTTACTACAAGGACACTAAAATCAAAACACTACAAGTACTGTTGCCTAGGTAGTAACAACTTGATAAAAACCTCAATCAAAGAAAGAAGCTAGAAGAACACTGAAGAGAATATAAAAATTCCCATTATAAAAATTCTGTCAGGACAATAAGACTGCATCTGGCTCAATGCTAGAATCAACAGAAGATACATATGTTGAGTAGTATTACCAACATCACTGCATAGGGCTTTCTGGCAAGGAGACAATAAAGAACTTTTCCTGTGGCAAATACGTACTTTGAAAACACATGAAAAGTGTGATATAGATAAAATACAGACATTTCCCCCAAATGAAACACAGACCAAATCAAAGCCTCTCCAGTCCAGTATCCTATTTCCTATATATGGGAAGGAAAATGAAATGACTCCATGAAGAAAGAGACCACAGTATTTAAGGACTAGAATCAGCTGTGTATCTAGACTGTTATGACTCCCAGATCTCCCATCTGGACTACACTCAGGAAAATCTGTTCTCTGAGGAGAATAAACGACCAATTTATTATTTATGGGGTGACAGAGCAAAACTAAGATATCTCAGAAGCTAACAGAAGAACTATGGATATTCTGAGGTTCATGTTGCTTTGAGTCACAGCAGAAAGAAATAGCATGCAACAAGAACCTAAGCTCACATACCGATACTCAGGTTAAGTGCCTAACCGCAATGAGATTTCAACTGCTGAGCCAACTTGCACTACAGAGGAAAAACAGCTGTGGTCCTTTCTTTCCCTGGTATCGAGGGAGAACTGTACAATGCCATGCTATCACTGGACTGCACTTGAGGTCCACACCAAAAGCATCTGACGCCCCACTGAATTGAGGAAAATAATACATCTTTGTAAACAGCAGTACAGCAACTTTAGTAAGATTACCCCAAATGCACTGGAGCTTGCTGTATCCAGTCACATTATCTCAACAGACTTAGAATGACAAAGGGGAGTTGATCTTTTAGAGACCTGTTTTCTTTCCTTCTTTATTCTCTTCTCAATGGGATTTAGCATTTTCCATATAATTTTTCCCCTTGGAGTAAGGAATCTCACATTTGATCCAAGACCAGCCTGACAGCATGTTTCTGAACTCCTTACACTGCTGGTGAAAGTTAGCAGTTTGGAATAGAGTCTGATGTGGCTTATATCAGCCTTTCCATTCAGAATGTTCTGTATAATTACTAAAGTCAACATTTTAGGTCTTCTACAGAAAAACAGCAGCTATGACTGTACCAGAGAAAAGGATATAATTTACAGAGGAAGGGTTAGGAAGGACCAGGTAGTGCTCAAAGCCCAGTTATTTAGTTGCAATAGTCCTCCTTCAGCTATACTAGGAAAGAACAAAAGTAGGATTATTAAGAAAAAAAAAAAGTCCTTATTTCAAAATGCCTAAAATCTGAAGAACTGAGAATAAATACAGCCTGAGATAAACACAGCAGACACACGAGAAGCTGCTTCCTGCTAAGGCACAGCTTGGTTGGTGTCTACCATATTGCTCACCTGTGCCCTGCCCTGTATTATTTTATCTTCAGGACCTGAAGACAAAGTAGGCAAGAACAGAAGCTTAGTGGCACAGCTGATACACAGAGCACAGGTATACAAGGAAAAGGACTTGAAGAACATTACAGCCACTGTTACTGGTTCAAATTTAGTCTTGTTTGTCACTTACGAACAACAGAGTGACAAGTGTGCACTAAAAGGTGTATAAATAATATGACCTAACGTGTTTCCTCTATTTCTGTTCTTTTTGATTCACAAAGCACCAAAGCAACGAGTAACAACCTTCCGCTTTTCAGCGAGATTTAAGGACATACTGAAAACTTACTGGTTTAAGGATGGAAAATTAAGCTTATGTTGAATATTTTCTTGAAGCAGGACACAATTCTGAAGCTTAAATTTGGTTAACACTCTGCTTGTTATACCCTTCACAGCTACAAGACTGAGCCCAGCAATTCTATTTATAAAGTCTCTTTGGTAATGTTTCCAGTAAATTAGTGACTAATGGAGCTCCTTACAGCTACTACGTACTGGATATTAGAGCCTTCAGGATGCAATAGTGCATCACAAAACTATATGTATGAAGGTTACAATGAGTGACAGAACTTTTGGATTAGATTCGTCTTGGCTTATATTGAATAATTTTTTAAAACAGGCATAGACATAACATCCTCTTTTTTCCTTAGAGCTTGTGCCAAAAAAAATAGTACGTTTGCAAATGGATATTAAGCAATGCCAGATATTTTCTGGGTTTGTTTTAACAAATTAACCCTTTGTGTTCTTTTCTGATGTCCAAATAATTGTATTGGAAGCAGATGTTCTACCAGAATTGACATGATCAGAAGACATTATGCTCAGTTATTAACATACTGTTTAATATTCACTACAACCTGTTTTAAAGAACAACAATGTGTTAACATTTAAGCCAGGAGGGATTTCTGTACACTATATAGTACTTGATGCAGCTTGTTTATGCAACAGTCTGACAGATACAATTAATCTCATGAAAACTACCAGAGTACAGCATAATGGCATATTATTTTTGAAGTAATAGAACACACTTTCCCTTTGAAAATCAGAACTTAATTAAATCATATAACTTCAGGATGCAGAGAAAAGCTCTAAAAGAATGACGCTCATTCTGAAGGACAGCTAAATGAAAAAATGGTAGATTTTATACAGAGAGAATAATATGATACTCTCCGAACAAGAGAAAGAAGTAAGAAATACCTCCAACAAACGCATCTCCAGCTCCATTGGTATCCACAATTTCACTCTGATCACTCACCAACACAGGGAAAGTAGTCACTTCATTTTCTGCAGTGGAAGAGAATAAAACATGAGTTACTTGGAAATACAACTTTGATAAGGAAAACAAACAGCGAAAATCAAAGCAATTCAAAACTGGAGGTCTGACCTTTAACATGACAATTTGGATAAAAATAGATTTGGTTTATAATTCTGTCTGTATTTACTGCATAGGGATACGGGAACACACTTGATCAAGCTATTTGTTGTGGATGTTTTCATTAATTGCTTTCAGCCTCATTTCTTTTATCTCCTATTATTAAGGGCAAGAGGAAAAAAAATGAGAAGGAAAAACATAAAACATATGGACAAGACTAAGAAAA